TTTTTTAAAAAGAATTGTTAACGCCCGTCCAATATTTAGGGACGTCCCTAATTTTGATAAAAAAAATTTATTCCATTTTACTTATAGACGGGCGTCCTTTAAATAGGGACGTCCGTCCGTAGTAACTAGACCCCCGTCCATAAAATATGGATGGGAGTTCATGTAAGTGAACGGCAGTCCATATTTGATGGACGGTCATTCACTAGAAAAATATTTAATAACGCATCTGGATTACTGGTGTGAGTCAGGGGACACGTAGGCCGGTACACGTTTTCGGTGCAAAAATGCTGGTGTCCGTAGCGTTGTTGTTATAATATATGCATGAGCAAACGACATATTCCTTCCCAATGTTTAAAATTTTAAGTTGATACTCTTTGTTGCATTTATTTCAATTATCACCCTTAAAGTAATGTTTTTATTTTATTTTTTTATTTTAACAGATTTCCAACTTTTCACTGTAACACAGCGCACGTTAACATTCACTCGCGCTTTCTTTGGTAAAAGATAAACTCATTTTAGCAAAAAAGCGGCTTATGTTAGTAGCGTCTAAGCCGATAGTTTTTACTTTTTTTGACCGATTCCAAAGTCCAAAATTATTTTCGAGACCATCGTTGTACCCCCTATAATCTCTTCTACAAAACTCATACCTTCACTTGTCAACCCCACTCACCATTTTTTACTATCTCCAACAGTTACTAACGATGTTAGTTTAAGGTTATAAATTTGGAATAAATACAATTAAAGGTATCAACTTGAGATTTTGCTAAATCTCAGATGAAAATATGTCATTTACTTTATATGCATAATGGTAATGTTTCTATACGTACATATACTAATAATTACCTTAGAACATCTCCAAATGACTATTTATATGATTCAAACTCTTTATTATAAAAATTATATCCATAAAAACAAGAGTTCAACATACTCTTTATCTTTAAAATATAAATTAGAGAGTGAGAGTTTGACTCTCCACATTTAGAGAGTCAAATTTCATTCTCTATCTTAATTTTAATTAATAAACTACAAATTCTTATGTATTTTATTTATTAATTCTCTCTCTCATTAAGTCTCTTTCTTAAAAATAAAGAATATATTCATTAAATTTAAAGAATCTATTAGATTTGAATAAAAAATATGTTAATGAAGATATTTTTTATTTATATAAAATTATTTTTAAAATAAAAAGTATCATTGAAAATGCTTTTAGGGTTAGCGATATGAAAAATTAATTATGATAGACCCACTTATTAGACTAACCTACCGGCTGAATGTGCCACGTGTGGATCCTATCAAATCAGAAAATGAAAGACACTGTAATTGATTGAATGAAGCAGGGCCCATGGGCCACTGTCTACCCAGGAAACCAACTACAAAGAAAAGAGGGAATAGTTTGTTAAAAACTGTAGCCCGTTGGGTTTTACAGTGAAGAAAATGCATTCTCAGGAACACTTTCTCCATCAAAATTTATTGTACTGCAAGCAATTATTGGTGCTGTAAATGCTCACATTGACAGAAGGTGGTAAGAAAGAATTGACAGTAGCACTACAGTAGACAATAATGAAGTAAATGATATCCGAGATGACCATGAGCTAGACTAAGTTTGTACAATGTACAGGCAGCACAAAATTTTAAAGGTAAGGTAGGTGTTATTTTTGTTAATTTTTAAATTTTATGTTTAATTTAATTTTTTTTTAATATTATTTTAAAAATTATCAGAATAATGAATCAAACGGATCCATTATATTTATAATTTTTTTATACAACTTTTTCATACAACTTTAATGTGGTAGTTTATGATTGGTCAACTTGTAATAAATCCCATTTACCTAAATACAAGCTGACCAACCATGAACTACCACATTAGAGTTGTATAAAAAAATTATATTAAAAAATTGTAAAGGTAGCTTTATTGAATTTTAATGGGTCAATCACCATTGGGTGGTATGATAAAAAAGTAAAAAAAGATTTTATAAGTTTTTGAGTGTAAGTCCTTTTAAATATTAATAGGGGTGATCATTGAAACTTTTATCCAATATATAATTTTAAGACCCTGACGAATTAGTTAAGATACAGATAAACTGGAGACCCCCAATGACTTAGAAATCTAATTTAAAATTTGGCATCACGCCAATCTTAACTATCAACTTTACACAAAATCCTGAAACACGTATAACTTTAGACATGAGATCGATGACTGACAGAGAATAAGGGTATGCTGATTATGTTGAAAATAAGCTTTAGACAGAAATAAATCACAGGATTCGGAAATGTAGGGGGGCAGTAGTGCTAAAAAGCTTAATAATTTAGAGAATGACATAATAAAATATTCGACATTACAATAGAAAGAATGAGTATTTTGAAATATAAAAGGGCAGAGTCCAAGAGTTCTTTACGAACTTCGAACTTTGCTTGTAACTCTTTAAAGAAACTAATTTTCACTCATATTCAGTTACATATAAAAATCAATGGTTGTTGCAAGTGTCTCATCTCACTTCTCCAAAAGCTATAGAACAAAAGGGCTTCCATTATTGGTTTCTGATTCGGTTTTTATTTCATCAGAGATTGCTTCCACCGTTTTGGAAGGGGACAAATTATATTTCAAATCTTTTGTATCATTAATTTTGTTTGAACACATTCAATTGATTATTTGTCTAAGGCAAGCCAGATTGTAGAGTCGGTGAACTTTCAAATCATAGAAGAATTGAAAGAAAACAAAAGAAGAAGAATATCGGGCGCAGCTGTTTCACAAATGCCTTTTCAGCCATTTCCCAAGAGTCATGGACAGCGAGATAAACAGGGCAGAAAAGAAAAGATGATATATTTTTGTTGGTCTCATGGGCCCTCTTCATCAATATTACAATTTTCTAATCATTTTACGTCAAATATTACTACATTAACATTTCACTTCACATCAGGATATTTAACATTTTCACTCTAAATCACTAAACTTGGTGTCTTCCCCGTGAGTGTACTATTACAAGTACTTACTAGTTAAATGCATTTTCTTTTGTTCTTCTTTGTCTTGGCTTGCTGCCAGCTAATTAATACAAGATCGTCGGCTTTATCGAAATCCTCCAATTGCATAGTGTTGAATGGTGACTATTTTCTGCAAACTTTACCAGTGTCAAGATATTTAGACCATACTTCACTTTTCAAGTATTTGAGACAACAATGTTCAATTGTATTGTATTTGTCCGGCAGTCGCTCTGTGGACCCTGATGTCAGCTGCTTCTCCAACTAATTTTTCTTCAAACAAATTATTGTAGTTGTTCTCTACTACTCTCACAGTATGGTGTAAATTCAAATAGTGATATTTATAGTTCGAGAACTATACATCTTTTATGGTAACATTTCTCATTCTAATTATATTTGTAAAACTAATGTTGGGAAAATCAGTGGAAGGGAGCCATATTCTACAGCACAAAGGTACTTTAAAATGTATATGTACTATGAGCAATGCTAGTTTTACAAAAATACATACAAATGTGGCATATAAAGATAAATACATTCTTGATTTTTATAATTTCTCTTTCTCTCTCTTTTTTCATTTTTTCTTTGTTTTTTTCTTCTGAATAATGTCACTTTATAATCCTTTTTGTATGGGTCTTTGTAAGGATAATATTTTTCATTACACTATATATGGTTGGTGATAGAATTGATGTACGTGACATGTCTTCTATCCGTTCCGTTCAATATATTTTGACTCCCTGGCAGACTATTTGTTTGCCCTTGAATAGACCAAAATCACAGCCATGTCATGACTTTAATTACTCCATTTGCAGAATGTAAAATAAAGTTTGAATGTTCTAATTTCTTAGTAAAAACTGGAAATGAATGGCTGAAATGTAGGTTAGAAAGTCATTAATTCCCTGGCAAAGGCACCTTGGGAATAAATGATCCTAGCTGTTTGACACTCAATTCACAATTTGATATTCACGTGGTTGAAATGTAGTAAATTACTCGGTTTTGGTGAAAAGATAAGCTGTTAGCCTAATTAATGTGGGCAGTGTTCGTATCTGAGATGATGATGCAGAACATGGCGACTTTGTTGTCTTTTCTAATAATTTTGGTCGTTCTTGAGAAACTGAGTACGGTGGAACCTGTCAATCACATGAGCCTGCAACCTGTATAGTACGTTCAGAAGCATCTTTTGGGGAAAAAAAAAAAGAAATGTGTAGGCAGAGATGGCGATGCACAGTCAAAATTTTCATTCAAGTTTCTGGCCATACGCCTACAAAATCTGATATGCCCATGACTCTTGAATAATAAACATTTAACTCTGGATTCCAATAATCAATTCGTGCCCATATCTTAGCAATACATTTAGCTCCAGGATGAATTGTCCATTTCAATCGAAATTGATAGCTTGACAGCTTGACCTCATGCCCCTTAATTTCCATGCATTAACTAAACTGTCCAATGATAATGCAGGAAGCAAGGATCAGAACAGAAGGTGTAACATATACCAAAGCAAGCACGTGTAATTAATAATACCACTAAGCCAGCACGATACTCATTAAAAGATCAAATTTTAAATCAAGAAAAACCCCATCCCAATATCAGATTCTAAAGGTAAAAGTCCAAGAGTTAAAAAACCATCATTTTCACGGCACCTTATTATGATCTTTTCAAACCTTGTTTCCATCACAAAGCCCAACGACCGATCAATGTGTATTTTTTTTGTTTCCTTTTCTTGTGATACCTCTCTCCATCTTATCTTTATTAGTATAGATGTCCAACTCCAATCCAGGACGTTGGTCCTTCAATATGGAGTGAACTTATAAAAAGAGAGATTTTTGATACCTCTCGCAATCATGTTGTCTGAAGGATACATATATTATTATATAGTAATAAAGAGATGTTGCCACTTGCCAATGCCAGAGCCTGCCTTCACTGGATGGCTTCTGTCTTTAAAAATGTGTATATGAATATGACACCATGCATGTTCTTTAAGCCAGTGACACTGACATCAGTAATTTTAACGTTACAATGCAATATTCTGACTCCTGTGCCAGAATCGGAAAAAAGATTTTATTTTTATTTTTGAAGGTATACACAAACACTTTTGTTATACTGCTTGTTTCCATCTGGAAACTGTTCATAAAACTTCTGATTGATTACACTGTCACTGAAGTTTCTCAGAAGTAACCTATAACAAGCATATCAATCAACTGTTGTATTCATTTTCGACTATATGCTGTGCTATGAAACCTCTTAATTGCCCAATCATTGAGAATTCTCAAAAGGGCTTGGTTGCGGGTGCACCTTGGGGTCTTGAATTGGCTGAGTGCAGCTCCATTTCCTATGAAATGATCCAAAATCTTCTTGAAAGTTCCCCTCTTCACAATACAAAGCTCTAAAGGTCCAATTGAATTGGTTCTTCTGGAGACAACATAACCATGATCAACAAAGGAAGCATCCATGTGGCAGCAACATTCTTGAAGAACCCTCTCCTCCACTTCTCCCTTAATTTCCCAGTAAATTATGTAGTGTCCTGGTTGACTTACCACATTGGCATGGCTCGTAAAATCCACTAGCTCAGCTCCAGTCTTGCTCAGTAGCTGTGACCCTTTTTCTACCACTAATTGAAGATCCTTTTCAGTGTTCTTGTCAATATTTATAGACAATATTAGCTTTCTCCTGCATATGAAGTTCAATTTTGGGGTCCCTTTATGAAAACCAGCCACTTCTACCACATCTCCTAGCCTGTACCTGTAAAGCCCTGAAGAAATAACCCCTCAAAAGTGAGTGTGTTTATTCTAGAGAATTCATATTCCACTAATTAAGAATCCCCAAAAAAATAAAAAATAAATATCTGACTTGTAATTCTTGTGACCACACAAATCTTGTTATAATGAGCAGTAAGCAAGGACTAAGATATGTTGGATTGTTTTTTACGCAGAGTCTTGATCTGGCTCTCTAGCTCTAGCTAACTATCCAAAATTGTACGAGTGGATGCTCAATCATGAAATCGGGTTAGATTGATTCAGGATATATATATATATATATATCTAGGTATGCCAATCCTTGACAATCAACATATACATATGTCAAATCGTTGCTTGGCATATCGCTGCGAATATATGGAAATGAGGCACATGACATGCATGTATGTATACTCCACTGCTTTTTAAAGAAGATAGTTTTATGTCTGTACATATATAATCAGCCATGGCTAGAAACAACTATTCTATCTGATCTTACAGTTTGATATCTAAGAATATGACAAACATGTAAAGTTTAATATATGAGATATTGAGAGGATTAGTCTCTAATTGAATTTCCTTTCTCATAACAACTAGCTATCAGCGGCTTGGCTTATAGTTGAAATTCAAACAATGGATAAAAGATGTAGAACCGTGAATTTTACTTTGAATAGAAACAAAACATACCTGTAAATGTAGTGAGAACAATCTCGTACTCCTGTCCAACCTTGACTTGAGAGAGTGGCACTGGTTCATCTTCTATGAAGTCATCGGTAGTTGGACAGCAATCTTTCCGTCGATAAATTGGTATAAACTCGAAGTAAGAAAAAGTGGGTATTACTGCAAAAGTAACATTCTCGGGATCCAAAAAAGGATCCACATTCACCCCTATCCAACTCTCAGTTGATCCATAATCAGCACTCACTAGGGGCAAATCCGCGGCGTAGTGCCTTAACTTTTTCAAATAGAGTTGCATTGAACCTGTCATTATAGAGTAGACATACTTAGCATTTGGCCACAGCTTAGGAATTAGACCAAACCAGTCTAGGCTTTGTAACTTGTTGCAGTTCCTTTCAATTTGGGAAGCCAAGTATGGTTTTGGAGAAATGATTTCTAAAACAGCTTTTCGCATTTTTGATAGAGTGATTCTTGAGTTAAGTTTTCCTTCTCTAATGTCATCGCAAATGTCTTTCCAGAAGTCTTCAAATGCTGTAAAAGCTTGAACTACGCTATAAGCAAAAGTGGAGGCTATGAACTCAACTTCATCACTGAAGAAGAGACCAAGGAGGAGATGACAATAAGTGGATTGCTTGTAGTCTCCACCAGAAATGACTTCTTCTGGACTGCATGTGAAGGACTTTGTCTTCTCTTGTTTGATTTTGAACTCTTCACTTGCATAGTAGTGTGTTGTGGCGGTTCCTGCTGTTAACCCTCCTTTAGTCTTGAACTGTTTGCTACTGTAAATTAACTCTAGGATCCTCCCTCCTTCCCTAATTGGATAAACCCTATAAGGCCACCATGCAAAAGAAAGAAAAAGAAACCCATCAAATAACTACTAAAACAAATTCCAAGAAAAGATAAAAAGAGAAGCAACTTTGTTAGACCAATCTGATAAAGGTCTATGGAAAAGACAAAGATATCATATATAGAAGAACATTACTTAATACTCCAAGTAAGTTTAAGATAATTGAGAAAAGAGAAGAGATCAAACCTTGATCTATAAGCTGCTGCCAACCTGAAAATCTCAAGAGTGGTCTGGGAGCTATGGCAAGTAAAAGGAACGTACTTCTGTCTTCCTTCTGTGGTTCCGGAGCTATACAAAGGAAAAGAAAAGAAGAAGTTCATCAAGAAGAACATAAAATCATCCAGAAAAAGGGGAAAGTAAATCTGAAAAACGTGCTTTACATTGGGAATCAAAAGCCAGTTGGGTTTCTTTGAAATTAACATAAAAAAGCTGCTACAAGTAGTGCTATAACAAGCTTTTATCACTTGGGTTACCACAAAGGTTCTCTTGCTCCAAATGTAATCCAGTCTTCTAGCAAGAGGAACTTTGAGGTAGCCCATGAGATCTGAAAGAAGAAAGCTGGTAGATGAAAAACAACCATCCGTAACTATGAAGCCCATAGCTGATATTCTCCATTCTGATTCTTTAACTCACATGATAATTCTAAAAGATGACTTTTATCATAAATATCAAAGCAAGCAAAATAATAATAAAATAAAGCAGTGCCCCACCCACCTTAACGAGAGAGTCGCTATAGGTTGTTTGGTGAGTAGAGGAGCTGTGTCCCCATCTGCAATTCTCTGGATATAAGGATCCAAATCTGCATGGGAGGCAAGAGGTACCAAAGAGGTGTAAAGAGATTCCAATGCACATGCATCCATCTCCTGAATTTTGATGTCTCCGAACCATTTCTTGAGATATTCAACATCATAGTTCTGATGAAGAATCCGGCGAAGTGTCTCTCTCTGAACAAATCCGGCGTTCTCTGATACGTTGTCGAACCAAGCGATAATGTCAAACTCATACTCACGATGATGCTTTCCAATTCCATTTCCATTGCTCTTATTACTAACCGCTCCAGGTTCCATTAAGATGGTGATGGCGGGGGTGGTGATGCTGTAGTATCAATTAAAACGATAAATGGATAACATTAATAACTGGGGGTTTCTTTATAGTGTGTTGTTGTTAGTTAGTAACTGGGTTGTCTCTCCTCTACTCTCTACTTTGCAGAGCTATGAGGAACAAAAAAACTGGGAAGAGAAGTAAGGAGCCCACATATTAAAATATCCTTCATTTGGTCATGGTTATTTATCTTGGGGTCTTATCCCTTATTGAAATTAAAGCTCTAACAAACCTTCTAATATTACTGAAGCTCCATCGATCGCAGAATTGTCTGATGGTTTATAGACCACAAGACACTATGTTTCTTTTGTAGTGAGAGAGAGAGATTCTTCTTGAAAAGATATGGAGAAGAATTTGCCAGAACTCCCGAAACCCCACCATCTTGGACAGCTTGGCACAATGCTATTTTTCCCTCCAATTTATGAGCCACCATTTGAAAGTAATTAATAAATATTTAGGACTTTTTTCTCTCAATTCTATTTGGTTGCTGTTCTTTTGCTGCAACTTGTAAACTGTAATCAAGTATTTGACACATACTATGCCCTCAAGTCATTTTCTTGTTAATTTCATGATCATATTGATTTCTACGGCAGCAAATTATTTGGTTTTTGAAACAAAGTCGCTCAAATTTATTGTACCCTCTAGAGGAGCTATATATGACTGATATTGTCATATTTTTTCTTCTTGATTAAATGTAATTAATTTACTATCTAATATTTATAAACAATCTTCTATTGATCCAACATGTTAATAGTCTCACTTTCTGTACTTATTAACAGTTTTCATTCATTGTTACTAGTGTATTTTCTTTCTATCATTCATATCTAATTGATATTGCAAAGAAATCCTAAATTTTAATTATACCAGTATATATGTTCATAAATTAATATTGTTTCCATTGTTATATGTTTCTTTCGTGACCATAAGAAGTGGCTGGTTCAATAATCTACTTCCATTTCTGACAAAATAAAACTATGAGTTAAAAATGTTTAACTTCCTCCTTCAAACTGTCTAGTATTCTTTGCCCTATATAAATAATTTAAGTGGTAGGACAGATGTATATCTAAAACTGCTTTCTTGAACTCATCGTTTAGATTCTTTCGATTCCAAGTTAATGTAATCAATAAGTTTCATTTACTCCGTACAAGTGTGGTGGTCGTATTCCTCTCCCAATCTATTCTACTTTCCTTGTCTTATTTTTTGTTTTGATAAAATATAATAAGCACTCCTGCTACAATTAACAGATTTCAAGATAAATGGGTGTACAAGGGGTGGGCGGGTCTAGGTATCCGCCCAAATCCTATGAAACCGGAACTAAAACCAAAACCGGCCAGTTTTGGTTCTTAATGCCTAGAACTGGAACCTCAAACTAAAACACATGCTCTGGTTTCGGTTTCGGTTTCGAGTACTTAGAAAAATTCAATACATCCCTACTATTCAAAAAAATTGACAAATATACCCTGTGAAAGTTACAAAGAAACCCAAACTATTTACAGAAATTACAAATACACCCTATCGTATGTTTACAAAAATTACAATTTTTATCTACTCCCCCTGTTCTTCTTCAAACCCTAACACTAAATTGTTTATCTACTCCTCCTTTTCTTCTTCAAAGCCTAACACTAATTTTTTTTTTTTTTTTTTTAAATTTCAAAATGGCTCCGAGAGGGAGCAGATAAGAGAAGGTAAAGAGAAATTTTCAACAATTTGATTCAAATTATGACGGTGGCCTTAACAGAGAAGAAATGGCTAATCTAGTATTGGTTGTAAAAAGGGATGGGTGTTTGCCCTGGCCCCATGGGGATCCGGCTCGACCCGGCCTGAATGGGGCGGGGAATCCTAGAAAATGTCAGGGATGGGATTGGGGATGGTCCCCTAAAAAATCCCCGACCCTAGGGATAGGCTGGGGGAGGGGATTGTGCAATCCCTGCCTTAGCCCGACCTATCAATCCCACCCCTGTGGAGACCCACCCTGCCCTGCATATTGTTCTTTTATTGAGAATTTTATGTTTTTTTTTTTTTCCTTTACGGGATTTTATATAAAGTTAGAGTTTAAATCATGGTTTTAATCAAGTAATATATCTAAATTTATGATATTTAATTTTATAATACTTTCTAATAGTTGTATTAAATTTATAGAAAAAATAATTTATTAATAATACATGCCCCAAAAATAAATTTGATTAAATTATTATAATTTACAAAACTAATATAAGAATATACACGATTGCTTAACACTTACAAATGACACAAATACAACTATCCTTTTAATTAATTAATTGATCAATTAATTATGATGTTAAACTTAATCAATGTTGGGAACTTGAGATAATAGGATTTGTCATCTCACTAATGGACTAATTTTATTACTTGTAGTGGAGATAGTGCTTTATAATTAATTAATCAATTTATCTAGTAAATTATGTTAAGATTGAATATAGTTATATTAATTCTATGAAAAATTAATTAATTAACTAAGCCTAAACATGCATACAATTGAATAATTAATCAATTTAATTACCTTGTAAATTATGTTAATATTGAACATAATTATATTAATTTTATGAAAAATTAATTAATTAACAGGGCTAACTAAGCCTAAGCCTCTATACAATTGAATAATTAATCAATTTACTTAGTAAATTATGTTAAGATTAGATATAATTATATTAATTCTATGAAAAATTAATTAATTAAACCTAAATTTGCATACAATTGATTTATAGTAAGAAATTTGGTAGAATATACCAAACGAGTTAGGAAGTTATAATAATAATTTTGTAGAATATGGTAGAGCTATACAAATATTTGATTTCACTCCCAATCTCAGCATTTGAAAAATTAAATACCCTGAATTTGGCACATTGTGTCTAAGATTGTATTCAAATTCTAGAGCTATATAATTTGTGTGACATTTAAATTTTAACATTGTGTATTTATTAAATTAAATTTTCACAATTAAAATAATTTAAGATTATTGTCCTAGGAACATGGCAAAAATCGGGGATAAAATCCCCGATGGGAGGGGGGGGGGGAGGGGGGATAGGATTTCCCCGCGAAGCCCAGTTCATCGGGGCGGGCACAGGACAAGGATGGGAGTGACTCCATCCCCACGAGCTGGGGACGATCATGAGAGTTGTTCTCAACCTCAAGAACGGGCTGGGGACGGTCATGGGAGCAGAGATCGGGGACGGGGACGGGGCCGAGGGAGGGGATTGTGCAATCCCTGCTGTTAGCATGTGATCGGGTTTGCGCAAAGGAAAAACACAATTTCAAAACAAATAAAAACCGATCAATGCTTAATCCCAAATCTGGGTACAGATTATAGTGTTTATAAATTTTGCATTACAACAATATAATTGTAGACGTAAAAATCTACCTGTACGGAAGGGGGGTCTGATCCCGTGAAGTCAAGGCCACTAGCGATCTGCTGCACCTGCACACGTAGAGAAACACACGTGAAGCGAACGGAAAACACCGGGGTGGTGTTTGCCGTAGGCACTCCGACGCTCAAGTCAGTAAGGCTGAAAGGGGCTAATATAGTGAGGGCTAAGGAATAAGAGATTACCGGAAGTCTAGTCGGGGACTGTGACTACGGCGAATCAGTGAAACTCTCGAGTGAAGAGTCTCGGGTGTGAAGGTGTAATGTTGATGTCCTGTGTGAGAGGGCTGGCCTCGGTTTATATAGTGATCGTATGGTCTCCCAATCTTGGTAGAAGTAGGAGTCCTAGTACGACTCTGATGCAAACCCTAGAAGAATTAGGGTTGCAGTAAGCTGTCTTACCAGTTTCCGTATAGGAAGGTGATTCTGATTAGGAGAGTAACTCCGAATATGAAAGTGATCAGGAATAGGAAGGTATTCTGAGGGGGTTGTGGGCTTTGGATTTGTCCATGGACCTAGGACATGGGCCAGGTTTGAGAGGCTTGTGCCCGCTCAGTTTGGGCCGGTTTGTTCCTCATGTAAAGAGGAGTACGGCTTGGGCCTTTACAGGATTGGGCTTGGTCCTCCTTCGCTAATGGTCCTTTTTCCCTATTTGGGCCAAGGACGATTTTTGGCCCTAACAATAATAAATCTATACAAGGATTCAAAATGCTTACACACGTTTTGAGGCTCCTTCGAATATCTCTGATTACGTTCACGAATACTGTTCACTGGGTACTATTCACTGAAACTGTTCACCGGATACTGTTCACCGACAATGTTCACATGATTCTTCGCTAATCGATCTAAATAAGGATCGCACTCATGGAAATCTACATGAAGACAATCCGTAGAACCCTTGATTATTTTGCTAGAATAATCAAGGGCTTCAAGAATCAATGTTTTTGAGTCAAGAAGAGAAAGAATTTTTTTCTCTTCAATCAATGAGTGGGCGTGAGAGAGAAAGAGTGAAAGGGTGGCTAGGGTTTTTAATTATTGAAATGAATGAATGAATGATCAATCTATTATTTTAATTTAAGTTGCATTTATATAGTGCAACCATAAAAACCCTATTCCAGTAAGGAATAGTCATGGGCACTAACCCTAATTCACCCTTGCAACCAAACACACCCTTTTATGGTATTTTAATTAATTAATTAATTATTATTATAATTAAAATCAATTAATATATAATAATATATTAACATTTAATTAATAATAATAATTCATTTAAATATATGCATAGATATATTTAAATATAATCTCACTAATTTAATTTTAATATTAAAATTAAATACATGCAATAACCTCAATAAATTTAATTGCACTGTGAGATTACCAAAATACCATTTCGTCCTCAAAGACGAAAATACCCTTCTCACAAATTGATTCTTAAATTATCTTCTAAGTGTGTGACCCGTAGGCTCCTCATCATATCGGCAGTGTGTAGTATCGCGATTAACATCAATCAATCGTCTCACTACACATAGACCAAGTTTGGCCCCTAACAAGGCATCATGGCCACCCGATAGATTTGGATTCAGCGAAACTACAACCTGTCAACGGTATGGTTACCGTGTAATCAAATTCTTTCATCATCTGTTATCTCATTGAGACTAAGGTACATAAATAGTGTCAACCTCAGATATCCTCGACATGTTTGTATTCAGTTAATGGACCAATGACCAGAATAATAAATTGGATTGAGCATCAACTCAATCCCACTATAGCCACAAATTTAGTGTCATTGCCATTTACTGAATTACCTAGTGAGATAACTTCTCCCATACCCAGGAGTGATGAATCCTT